TGCTAATTTTTCATCTTGCCTGCTTCCAATTAACCTAATGTCTCTACAGTGACGCTCGAACTAAAAGGATTGTGGATGATGACTTTCTACACCCAGGATTTGGAGAATGGGTCCCCTAAAAAACCCCAGTCGCCCTTTAAAAGGGGGAGTTATGTAAAGTATCTCTCCTGCCTTTCTAGCATGCCATCGTGGTGTAGTGGTTCTGCACGCTTTGCCAGTATTCCAGAAGTCCTTGGTTCGATTTCCGGCGAAGGCGGTTGCTCATTTTTCATCTTTCCAGCTTCCAAATTACCTAATGTCTCTGCGGTGGTTCCCAGGCTGAAGGGGTGTTGGATGATTATTTTCCTCACCCAGAATTTGGTTTTCTTTAAAAAATTAGGAGTATTTCTCAGGTCTTACACAGACACAGCCATTTCCAGAAAGGGGTTCGCAGGTTTGCTGTTCTTTTGATGATTTTGTCCTTTGCGGGGTCAGAAGTTAAGTTTTTTGTTCGTAAAACAGCTAGGTTTTTCTAGCTAGGTTGTTGGATGATGATTTTCCTCACCCAGAATTTGGTGACTGGGTCCCCTAAAATCCCCAGTCGCCCTTTAAAAGGGGAAGTATATAAGGTATTCCCAGCGAAGACGGATGCTAATTTTTCATCTTGGCTGCTTCGAAAAAATCCTAGTGTCTCTACAAGCTGGTAATTTCGACAATTATTAATTTAATAAAAATTTTATGTAATAGAAAGAATTTGGTGCATAGAATTGCTCAAAAGTATTTTTTTATCTAAGCAGCGTCTGAATTCCTGAATGTACCTGTCATCCGTTGTAAAGGGAGTTTTTTATTTCAATGTTTTAGCTCTATATGGTTTGAAAAACAAATTTTTAGGGCAGAAATGGAGCCCTGCGTAGAGCTTGGAATTGTACGCTTTTATTTTACAACAATTTTTCCGCTGGGGGAGAAAATTGGGATTTCCAACCTGTGTCCCTGATAAACTGGGGCTGGTGAAGAGGTTTAGTGTCTGGAATGTATTGTTTACGAAACCAGTGCGTAAAGATGGAGGTCTATGCGAGTGAAGGGTTGATCGGGTTGTTGACCTAGACTGGAGTCATTGAAGTGTGGAGGAGGAAGAAGGAGCGATATGTGGTAACTTTTCATAGACCCCTATCAACGCTATCCTTACGATGCACCACTAATGCTGTTGGTGGTTGACGTCCCTCTTGGGTTTGATGGATGTAAATAGGGAAATGTTTCATCGCCGAGAAAGAGAATTGCGTTTCAGAGAGCAAAAGCGTCGGCGAAACATTAGATGGCTAGACCTCGTTCAAAAATCCCGTGTTTGGAGCTAGCTGTAGAAGAGGAGGTATTGTCTGATACTCTGAGAGGAAGGCAGAAAAAGAGTGATGGTATCCGCCATGGTGAGATAAGTCAGAACCACTACGCAGTCTGAAGATCCATCAGAAGGAAAGAAGCGTTTCAGTTAATTTCCTTATCCAGCATTTTGGTTATTTCTTCATTTTTGTTTTTAATGATTTGGTAAATTATTCATTCATGAGGTCGTGAAAAGAGAGACAAGGAGGGACGCCGCTTCAGCCAACTGCATTGATGAAAAATAAACAAAAGCTGTTGGAACGTAATACCCTAATCACCGCCCGGTGCAAGCGGTTAAGTTTTATTATTTTGCTTAAAAGAGAATATATATATATATATATATATATATATAATGAAAATTCATAGCTGAAATTTATCTTATTCATATAGTTCTGTTTTTTAGTGACTAACATGGGAATTTCCTGATTTAATATGTGGGTTAAGAAAATTGTGTCTCAAAAATAATCTTGTTCATATTTAATTTAGTCCGGTGACATCCGGTTATAAAATTATACTATAGTAAATTTCATTTCTACTTATTCTTGTATTTGAAAAAGATTTGCGTTGAAATTTCGATTGTCAGGTTTGTCTTATTATTGTGTCCATAGTGTCAACCGGTCTCCACAGTTTTCACTAGCTATTAATTGTATTATTGTTACATTACAGAAAAAGTTTTCGCAAGGGATATTTTTGGTAATACCTGTAATTGGATTTTGGGCCAAAATTCCAATTTATATGAAAAACAAGGTATGCCTTAGTTTTATTTTCTTCTGTACTGAATTTGAATGTAGTGTCATCTGAACCAGATTCTGTAAAATCAGTTGTGTTTAATACTAATTAAATGTGTAATACTTTTCTTAACTAAATAAGCCTCTATTAATAGTTAGTTTACCCTACTGGATAATTTGCTGGGTTATGTTATGTTTTAATTCACAACGCAACTCTAATTATATACTTTATATATTATAAACACTACTCACTCTGCAGTTTACCATGACACAATACAATTGTTCGAGATGTTTGAAAGCATACACAAGATTTTAAAATAAAGCATTATGTATTATAACACTGTTTACTTTAAAATGTGTAGTACGCTTCCTCGGACTTCGAGGGTCCTTCACCTTTCTTGCAGCCGAAATTGAAAACTTTATGAATGGCATATTTTGTTGACATCTTCAACGCTTCTGATATGAAGACCGTTTTGTCTTCTCGATACTTCTAGCACTTTCCAACGCAACTTAAGTAAGAATATGGTGGGCCAAATTTCCTACGCTAGCACTTATTTAGGAAGTCCGACTTCCAACGGTTATTGTAACTGGTAGCTCTATATAACAGGCCTTGCCCTCCGTCCCGCCTTCCGCAGGGTTAGGACTTGTGACGTGTGGCGTAATTAACACTGGCTGACGTCCATGCTTTGAAGTTAACGTCTTATATTTACGGAAACAGCTCCCTTTTTCACCTGCTGGACTCTTATATCTCCAGAAGTGAAATCAGCTGACATCTTGCTGTAGTGTTCGCAAATCCAAGTTCACTTTCTTATAAAGGTCAAGACCAGTTTATTTCCGCTTCCATCTGCCAAACTTTTGGAGGAGGAGTTTGAGTAACGAAATACGTTTTCTTTTTACCTTACATGTTAACATCCGCCCTTCTGAAATAGCACAACCCAAAGACTATATTTAAATTTACATTGTATTTTTTTTAATTTTAAGTGATAAAATATTTATTTTCATTCTCTTTCATATTGTATTAGATCTTATTTCTAGGAAGGATATAAGCACGAAGAAACAGTGAAAGGAAAAGCTGTTTGTTTAAAGCAGTGGAAGGGGAAAGCGAACAGTGGCAGAAAAGAACAAACAATGGAAGAACAAACAGTGGAAGGGAAATTTTTTTGTTTAAAACGAAACAAACAGGTATAAAACGATTTTTAACTTCTAAATTGCCTAACACCAGTGTTCTCGTAATACGTAATGAAAATGAAAAGTAATGAAATTAACACCACATGTATGTATATATATATAGAGAGAGAGAGAATGATCTGAAATTCACTGAGTTCGAAAATAAGTCTTTCTAATATTTACACAATAGCTGCAAAATAATATCAGGAGATAATATAATCAATATTTCTTTAGTATATGTATATATATATTTCTGTGATTCTTTCTAGGGAGATTATTTCCTTTTCTAAATTACACTCATTTGGAAAAAATAAAAGCAATGTTTAATGTTTGTAACTTAAACTTTTTATTACTTCTTTTAGTTGGTGTATGTACTTATGTATTGCAGCGACGTACTAACAATCTTATTGACCAGGTTCATTTAGCTACGGAAATTCTTTCGTTGATAATTTAGACAACCAATGTCTTTTAGCTAATAATTTTTAAACGCAACCCCAGAAGTACATTTTATTTGTGTGTGATGTAATAAAATCCTTTAATATTACCGAAAATTACCTTTATTCTCTAAAATTACAGAAGATATTTCTTTTACATCCGCAGTCCTTTCTCATTCACAGAAGTCCCACCAGAAGCCGAGTGGTAAAGTCGTTGAATGCTGGTAGTTCGACCTAGGTTCTATTGCAGGAGAACGGTCTGGCTTCATGGGCTTGTTCGTGGTTTTTCTCATATGAGACGTGAATACGAGCTAGTTTTCCATAGAGAGTTTTCCTCGGAGGCATTCCTTTCTTAGATTAGATAGCTTTAGAATACTTTGCCATAGTTAAATAAGCTAAACCAAACTCATCCACAACAGGGCAAGTACCGTTGCACTCTCTCTTCTAGATTTAGGGTTTAATCAGTTCTGGGTCTATGCAACTATGCAACGCTGATGCATTCTAACTCGAAAACTGTTTATTAACAGATAGAACTATGAAGTCTTTTCTCACACGTGATTTGAAGTGATTACTGCTTATTAATTTAATATATCCAACTGTTCAATTGACAAAACAGATAATTGTTCAGCCAATTGAATTATTAAAGCTGTTTTTCCTAGCTTTAGATTTTTGGCTTTCGTAGCAGGATTGCTAGTATACGAGTACAGGTCCTGCAGAATTATGACAGGTGTTGGGAGTAAAATTACATTCTATTGTTGAAACTTAGAAGTTTTTCTTTCCTTAAACAAGAATCTATCTTATAGAAGGAAAATTCATCAAATTCTTAAGGTCTTGGTCTGAATGCATATCATTTTAGATAAAGGTTTCGGTTACGTCACATTTTACAGCAGTTGTAATAATCTGCTTCATCAAATATCATGTGTTTTTGACTCGATGCATTCATGAAATATCAGTTAAATTGCAGTATTTGCATTCAATATATAAAAGTTATTTTCCTTTTTTCCTTCATCAAATGTACAGTGTTTGTGAATAACCTCAGCTTTCGAAAGGTATAGATTATTCACAAATATTTCGCATATCAAAAAATAACATTTGTGTACATGTTTAGCCTTTTCTCTGAATAATAAATGAAAAATTAGCATTTCTCCGCCACCTTTGGGTATCGTTACATGCATAAAAGGAGAAAGAATATACTCTTCATATTGATCATTAATTCGAACAGTTTGGAAACCTTCAACTCGAAAATTATTTACCAGTAGAATTGAAGTATCAAAAATAGTTCTGTAATTTATTATGCTGGTTTATTCTTTGCACTTACCATAGTTGAGGGATTTATTGAGCCAAAGCTTCGAATGTACATCTCACAGAATACAACAGTTGGTGTTCCTAGAGAAAAAAAGAAATAATTAGTTTAAGATTTATTATTAATTTTATGAAGAACCTCATTATGAAGAAATCAATCAAAGACAGATTGTTATTTAGTTCATTTCATTTTTAACATTTTCATTCTCTAAGAACGCGATTTTTGTACTGTTATTTTTTAGAGTTTCTCTCACATAATTCATCAAAATCTGGCTTGCTTCCAACTGACTCCATACTCCATTAAAAAGACGCCAAAAGATTAATTATAGCTATATTAAAGATAAAAATTAAATGTTTATGTATTATAAACTTTGTGATATAAAGCTTCAAACTTTTAAATATTTAAATACTTAAATATTCGTAAAACGACCTTTTCCATTTGTCTGCACTGAAAGTGGAAAAAATATTCAAATGGAATAAGTTGAAATTTGGGATCTAAAAGAACGGGCCTATTGTATGAGTCAGTTTTTGTCATTTTTTAGAATGAAATACGTAGCCTTTTTGCTCCGTTACTATAAACATAAGCGAAATAAAGAATTCAATTTTCAGTTCTTAAAAAACAAAATCTTGTTGCTTTAGTAACATCTATTCCAAGAATTTTTTCAAACTTTCAAATTAGGTAAATTATGTAAAAGTGTTCAAACAATCGGAAATTTAAATAGTACTTTCAATTATCTGTAACTCCAGTTATCCCAATCTCTCTTTTCCTATCCTAAGTCAAATAAAATTAAGTTTCCTATCAATTTATTTATATATTTTTCATGTGTCATATTTTCATTTACAGGTGTCATTCTAGTCCTAAATTTCTTATAGAATGAACAATTTAATAAAAATTATTGTATTGTTAATTTAATGTTACATTATTTCGAGTTAAAATTCCTAATATGGTTTAATTGCAAATGAAAATAAACGAAGGGCACATATCAATAAAAAAAGTGTTTCGTTGTACAGCTTACGCGTTTTCTGAATTAATTTCATTGTTTCATATTCATTGAAATAAAAATCTGATGTGTGCTTATGAAATAAAAATAAACCATTGTTTAGTTTGGTCAGAAAAATATATTTTGTATTTTGCTTGAATTTTTTTCTTTTTTTTTTTTTTTTTTGGTTTTCCCTAAAATAAAGTGAGCTAAACGAAAAAACACACTGGTGTTCAAAATTAAGAATTTTCGCATTTGATTGGTTATTTCCAGAACTTATTTTCAGAACTTGCATTTTTACGAGGTTTCGTAAGGGCGGAGGATGATATAAAGCAAAAAGATATGGTATGTAAAAAATCAGGGTACACAGACTTGATTGCGGATAAGCTCATCCGCACAAAAGGATTTAAACAGAGGTTGAGCGATCAACCAAGAAAGGAGGTTAATGGGAAATAAAGGAGACATTGGTTTCCTCCAATAATCATAAAGCTCTCACAACGTGAAATCATACTTGAAATGAGGCGTGTTCGATTAACGAGCGGCACCATTTCTGCAGAAAAGCCTTTTCAAGAGTACAGGTAGCCACCAGTTCATTTTAATGGACGATAACGTTCTTCCACAAAGGACTAAACTGTTCGATGATTTTTTGGAAGGTAATGATATTAACAGAATAGATTGGTCAGTCGAGTCCGGTGGCCTAAACCAGCACCCTCTAGTTGTAAGCAATCTAGGGAGTATTGGCTAAACCCAAACGAGTATGTCTGGGGCGCTTTTGGGAAGGCAACTGCAACTCGCCGTCCTCCTCCTAGAAACCTCCAGGATGAGAAGAGAGCGTGACTGCAGCAGTGGAAACGTCTTTCACAGGAACACATGATTTATCTCATGTCCGGTATAATGTCACGTTGTGAGAGCTGAGGGCCTATCCCTATTAGCGTCTTTTCTTATTAAATTTAGCAACCTCTGTTTTAAATCATCCCTCTCTTCTCGGGCTACTTACGCATGATCACTGCGAGTATACTATTGTTAAAAGTATTTATTTTTGTATTGTAGCAGCTTGATATAATCGAATAAATGTGAAAAGTTACTAAATTTTGAGCACCAGTGAAGTGCTTCCTCCCTTGCATTAAAATTTGTATTTGGCATAAAAAACAAAGCATAATTATCGGGATTTTGTGAATATACTGATGGTCTTTTGCCCAGTTAGTCTGATATTTAGTTGTAATATAGTATTAAGCGTAACTTAAACTAAGAAAGCAAGCAAAAGTAAACTAAGAAAACAAAAATGTTAGATTGTATAATTTCTCATACCCAAAGACTGAAAAACCTCAGTTTGCGCACGTGCTCTAAAGCCAATATTTTGGCCATTTCTGTTCTGTCAGAGAAAGCGCTTTAATATAATTTTGAAAAATTATTTTAGGATTAGAGAGCAGTTGCGAAAAGTATAAAGCTTGTTAATTTTTATTGAAACATAGTACACCATGAAAAGTATAACAGCATGAAAGACTTTCTTTGTTTGATTCGCATTCTGAAAACGTAGTTCTACGATTAGAATATTAATTCACGAGACATTTAGTCTTTTAATCTTTTTGAAATACCATATATTATGGTATTAATAAAATAGCAATAGGTCTTATCCAATTCAGATAGCAAATGCATACATGTAAAAGCACTGCATTTAATATTCAGAATATTTATTTTGCTTTAAGTTACTTCTCCGTTGAAAGGATGTTTTAGACTAAGTCTACATTCTTTCTTTGACTAATATTTACTTTTTGCTTTCCTTTTCACACGTTAATCTGTTGAGGTGGTTTGGCCATAATTCTAATAATTAGAAGGTTAGAATAGTAGTTGACAGTTTTACATATGGAAGTCTTGTCGTGGTCTGGGTTCTATATTTCTTAGCATCTACACTGAGTGGCCAGTATAGATAGATGCTAAGAAATATAGAGACCGTATGAAAGCGGAAAAATTTAACATAAGATGCTCCTGTCTTAGAATTAAAGAATTTTTGAAACTAACTCACTGTTTTAAGTGTTCAAAGTACGGGCACTTTCAAACAAAATGCCACGAAGCGCAATTATGTGCTAAATGTGGTGCAGCTGAACGTAAAAATTGGGAGTGTGAAGGTACTCCAAAATGTATTAATTGTAAAGAGGCAAATTGAAGCTTAGCGTTGATATACTAGTTTAGATAAGAACTGTTATTGTCACAAACGACAAATGGATCCTTTAATCAGTCGTATAAATTATGTCTAGTAGAAGTGACGAAGACTTGAAAATGGTTCGAATAAATTTACATCACGCTAAAGCTTCTGCAAATTCATTATATATTAAAACTACTGAAATAGGTTATAAAATAGCCCTGATTCATGAACCTTACGTCGTAGATAATAAATTTCGAGGAATCTCGATGAAATTTAATACTGATGAAAATTAATTTATGACAAAAATCATCCACGAGTGGCAATTGTTCTGTTTGACAGTTTTCTAGCAATGCTTTTGTATGCTTCCTCAAATATAGGCCCAATTAAATTATCATTAATAATAGAAACATAATTTTTGTTTCAGTGTATTGCCCCTAATGACACCTTGAGTGATTATCTACATTGTATCAATAATATTATTGATTCTCATGAAGACTCAGAAATAATTATTTGCGGAGATTTCAATACTAAGAGTTCCCTATGGAGTCCTTATATCACTCAGTAGATCCAACAGTTGAAGCTATAATTGAATTCCGCTCGGCAAACAATTTGAACATTTTTAATAGTCCTGATAACATGGCTAAGTTTTCCGATACCAGAGGCGAAAGCTGGATAGACCTTACCATTGTGAGATCCTCATTTGTTTTCAATTGGTCTGTCTCTATGGATATTTCATGTAGCGATCATCGGTACATTGAGATTGGACTTTCAAACAACTTTCTAAGAGAAGAAGACATTTGAACGTTTCTATATTTGGAATTTGAATTGGCTAAATCTTCGTACAGAACTGTATAATTTTACGAAAAGTGTTTCCGAAGAAAATTTAGAAAATATTTCTGATTTAAATATTTATATTAAAGATCTTACTAATTCAATATTGGATATCTGTAAGAAAAGTAAGAAGATGAACAAATTTGAGGAAAACAATGCCCTTGGTAATAGATATATTGGTGGTCCAAAAACCTGGCTGTTTTAAGAAGTCAAGTTCGATTACGCGGAAGAAAACAGATATGTTACAATCATACAAAGAAACATTTGTTAAAGATTTAATATAAAAAGAAATTAGCTGAAAATAAATGGGAAATCAACATTAATTAAAATCGTGCTTAGGAACAACTATGTGACTGTTTGAATATTCATCAACCTTTTGGCATTCCTTACTGTATTGCTGATAATAAATATAAACCATCTTTACAAGTTGTCTCTTTGAAATATCAAGATGGATCTTATTAATTAAGAACTAAGAACTTAATATTAACTAAGAATTACAGATAGTAAATTACCTCTTACAATATCAATTTCCTTTTGATAGTACTTATGGTGATATATCATTTCATTGCCAAGTTAGATCAGATTGTTTGATACCTCCAGAGATTAAAAGATTATAATTTTACTTTAGATGAAGTGAAACTTACTCTTAAAAAGTTGAATAAAGGTCAAGCTCCTGGTAAAGATGACTTGAGAATGGAAATTATTTTAGAAATCTTTGAATGTCATAAAAAGTTTTTTGTAGCTATCCTGAATGAATGTCTTCGGAGGGAAATATTTCCTGAATGTTGGAAAGAGGCTAATTTAGTTTTTTTCAGCAAAGAAAGAAAGGATAAAGAAGATCCTTCCTCTTTTCGCCCTATTTATACTCTCCCGATTTGGCCCCAACGGATTTTCACCTCTTTCGATCTCTTTCAAATGCTATGCGGAGAGTTTCTTTCAACACTGATGCAGAAATAAGAGCTTGGTTGGATGACATTTTCAAGTCTCAAACAGGTGATTTCTACCAACGAGGTATTGAAAAATTTGTTAAACGTTGGGAAAACGTTGTAGTCAACAAAGGAGAATACATTCTTAATTAACTACTTAATATGTTTACCGAAAAATACCCTTTTAACAAACATTAATAAAAACGGCGAGAACTTAGTTGCCAACCCAATATTTATCATGCAGGAACTACCACCAATAAGAAATAAAAAATTAGAAGAAATTTCACGGGCAGGAGGTCACTAGTTGGCTATCATTGTCATAATTAATACTTTTTGAAATTTCGAAAAAACATCTTATTGATACGTGATTTTCTGAATGAAAGAAAAGTTTCCTTGTATGATGCTAATAACTGGCTTTATAGAAATTACCAAATGGGTTGTGCCAAAGCTCAATATCTGGTCCACGTTTGCCGAATATTATTGCTAATATAGCTTTAAATATAAATTTACCACAAAATGTTAGTATACAAGCTTATGCTGATGATTTTGTTTTACTGGCCACGGGAAGTGGTCGTCAAACTATTGATAAAGCTATAAGTTTCGCCACTCAAGAATTGGAGAAGTGGTCTTTGAATGTTAAACTTAAATTTGATTCAAAGAAGAGCTTTCTTTTGGGTATCGCCAAAACTAATACCAGATCAATACCTCCTAGGTGCAACCTGTGTGAACAACCAATTAGTGTTTCTAAGGCAATCAAATATTTGAGCATTACGATCGATGAAAAGCTCACTTTTATACCGCACCTGGATAAAATAAAGATTGAACGCACTCATAAAAGATGAGTCATCTTTTATCTTATCCTTTCCGTTTAGATTTAAATATAATTTACGGTACTTTTACAAAGTATTAGTTCTTTAAGCTCGCAGGTTCACCCATAAGCTCTTGTATATTTCGACTAATAGCATATCGCTATTTATTTTTTATGTACATCGGAATTGCCTTTTCATTATTTATCTTTTTATCTTTTTTACACCTCTATGTGTCAAAATAAGCGGGCGCGTCGGGAAATTGGAACAGAGAATTGAGACAAAATATTTTGACATAGTTTATTTAATTCATTAAAAAAATTTGTCTCGCACAGTTTCAACTGTCTGTTTCAGCGAAACGCGTGATGGAGTTAGCTTAGTTCGAATTCATTTAAAAAATTTCCCTTGACAAGCCAAAATGAACTTCGAATTGGGCTAATTAACCATTTACCGCTTCTTAAATTTTAATTTAAATTTTTAATTTTTATTTTTACCTCGATCAATTGATTAGTATTTTACTGTGTTTTAAATCTACTTAATTTGTTTAGCATATAGCTTACTATTTTTATTTTTACCACGATCAATTGATTAGTTTTTTAATTGTGTTTTAAATCTACTTAATTCGTTTAGTATATAGGCTTACTATTTTTATTAATTTTACTTGTAAATATTCAAATGTTGTATATTTCTCCTTTTTCACACATTTCATAGCAACTAAATATTGCTTATGTTGAAGTTTTCAGGGAGCCACAGTTTTTGGTAACTTTTTAGAGTGCGTACTAAAATATATCTTCTAATTTCCTTAAAATTGCAGCACAATGCGCAAAACGTTTGAGCACATGGGTCCTTTTTTGTTTGTTCTTACTACTTAACTTCAAATTATATATGATATATTATATATATGATACATACACATGTATGATATGTGTAGTATATGCAAAAAGTAAAGTTTCTGCGCTAGGTATACTTCCTGAATTCTAGTGTTGAAACGCTCTGGCCAAAAGGAAGAATAAAACAAAAGCTTCTTATTTTTCATATTTCTTTGGCTTTATACTAATAACGGCTTATTAACTTGTTTACTATAATTTAGGTTCCATAGTCGATTACTTTACCAGGGTATGAAAAATGCTTTGAAACTGTTTCCTTTTTATTCTTGCAAATGGTTTTCAAGTTGTTCTTAACTTCTTATTAAATAAAACTGAATTACAAAAGCAGAAAAGAAGGGAATCTTTCTAATAACAAATCGAAGCTTTGCCTACCACTTTTATTATAAAGGAGTTATAAACTAGCAACTTGATAAAAATGCTTGTGAAATTATATGTAGGGAAACATTATAAGATACCTTTATTCAGGTTGAAGAAATAGCTTACAGCTTAGTATTAGGTAGAGCTATCTTTTACTGTATTAATAGGTAATATTTGAATTAATCGCATACGAATGGAGCATAGACGAAATATATATGTGACAATTGTTACTAAAAATCTCTTGCGTTAAAAGTAATTTCAGAATAGATGATTGAATATTTTCATTTCGAAGTCCATGTGTATTGACTTTAGCTACAGATCGAGGGATTTCAGCCACTCTCATGCCTCGGAAAACAAAACAGCCGAGATTAAAAATGAAATTATGATTGTGACCTTTTTTTAGGGAATCTGTAGAAAAAAATATTATGAACTGACAAAGAAGGTAGGCACAACATAATATTACCCAGCATGTCTCTGCGTCTTTAAATGTTTTGTTTTGGAATGAACATTTATAAAAAATATCCATTTCATTTTTGATTGATTTTGACTCTACAAGAAGTAATTATAGTTTTCCCTGAGGCATTGTTTCATAAGCTGCAAATCATCTGAAGAAAAATCAGAAAATAAACTTAATTATGTTAATATGCATTTATTATAGAAATAATTATATTTTCATTTAATTTATAATTCTTATATATTGAGAATGTTTTACCCATATGACTCGTAGGTAGAGCTCGTCTGTCATAGTTTTTCAGCAATGCGTCCAACAGATTTAAGTCATCTATCGTGCTGTTTGGTCTGAAAAATAAATGAAATATACAGTAATATTTGATTTTAAAAGAATTTTTAAAATCAATGAACTATTTTATTGAAAAACAGTACTTCAATTACATACAAATCTTGTTTAATAATTTGCTGTTTTCCGGTAATTTAGAGAAGAGAATAAGTTGGAAAGTGGTAAAAGAAAATAAAATTATTAAAAAAATATGTCCGGAAGTGAGGGATTGCGTATTATGGATTGCACTGTTCTTCTCAATGGGGATTGCCTTTTCATCACCTGAGATATTCTTTTTATTTTGATTATCCACTCTCGCTTTCTATTTTGGTTAGATGCATGTAATCAAGAAGTTACATGCTTAGGACAAGATTTTAAATGCAAGGAATTACCAGTGATTAATTATTTCGTATTTAAAACAGATTTTATGCAAATATCCAAACGATAATGTATGGTCCTCACGTGTATGAGCCTAAAATGCATTTAATATCTATTATTTATATTTAATTTTGAAATTTTGTTAAATTTGAAATAGTTCTCAATTTTTAAAACATGTAAGAGTCTCATCAGTCAAGAATCAAATAAGAGATGAGCGATATATTTCATATTTTATAGTTAACAAATTCATATTTACAGATGAAATAGGAATAAAAATCTCTATTAATTATAGAGAAATTACTGGCTTCTCCAAACTGTTTTTTAGCAAAATGTCAAGTATTGAAATAAGTAATCAAAGGATTCATACACTAGGAAATAAAACATTTCAGAAAACGATGTTTGAAATGCAGTAAATGAGGTAATGTAATTTCACAAAAATATGATTAACTATAACAACGACTTAAACTAATTTAAGTGTAGTTGAATTAGGATAGGAAAAATAAGCTTAATTGAAAAAATTGTTTAAATAATCACGTTTCATCTGAGACGATCACCTATTTGAGTAAAACATGCAAAGGATTGAAAAAAATCAACAGATTTTTTGAAGCTCTTAATGAAAAATAACAGTACATCAATTATAGCTGGTTAATTGTTTTAGCAAGAAAATGCAGTAATGAATTAAGGAACAAAAATTCTAAGATGAACTTTGAAAAACGCTTAACGCCACCTATTTTTTTTCCTTTTTTACAAAATGAATTTCCGTTAGCAGATTATTTGTTTCGCATGCACTCTTTTGAACACAACTGAATTCCTCTTGAAGTTAAAGCAAATAAAGAACGAGAGTTTTGCAAATAATTATTCTTTAAAGAAGAAAAAGAAAATAGCAAGACTTTTCAAATTACTTCTTTGAGCATTTTAATTAAAAACACAGTCTAACATGTACCGGACCTAAATGAAAATGAATTTTTTGGCCACTCTAACAAGGAAATGTTTTTTAAAATAGAGATCAGGGATATTCAAAAGACATGGTTTCTTCAATTCACACTGCAAAATTTAGTTTAACATTTTAATTGTTTTGGATTATCACATACTTTTGTCGCATGCAAAATACTATATCATGCACGCAAAATATATCATGCAAGTATACACTTTAGCATGTTACAGGGGTAGCCGAACTTCATATCAATAGGATCCGCATGTTGGAGTTCAAAAAAGTTCGAGAGCTACGACTACATTTTCCAAAAGCTGCAAATCCATATTTACATCATTTTAAAAGTATTGATTCAGATTCCAAACAAAAAAAATTCTAAAGTACATGAGAAGTTCATATTTTTAAGAAACGAATGCGTTTAGGTATAAATACATAATTTTTACTTCTCCAGATTTAAGAAAATATTTTCCTACGATATACGCATGTGAAACTATTTTAAAATTGCAAGTGGATATTTCTTTTGAGACAGAAAAGGGAAGCATTTTCTTTTGATTTCCTTATCCATATTTATAATTGTTGAATGGTTTAGAAGATGTAAACTGAAATCAAAGGAAGATGTAATGGTCTTTGTAAGTACAATAATGTAAAAATCTTTTCACTTGAATGAAGAATAAAGAACTAATTCAAAACATAAACTCAATGCTTTTTCTTTAGCTCATATTCAAACTCTGGAAAGAAAAAAAAAATACACAGCGCAACGCTCATCTCTGTAAAACAGCGATTCCAAAAAGGAAAATTTATTTTAAAATAAGCTGTGAAGTAACGTGGTTTTTACATAAAAAAATCATTTAGAGTTTTTATTACCGACACAATTAATACGATAACCATCATATTGAGACCAAAATCTAACATTAAATAATTTAATTAATTCATTAGATTGAACTGAATTATCAGTTTTTCTAGAGAGAAACTAGAGATGAAACATTCGAGTCTTGAGGTTACTTTAAGTGATTTAAGGCAAAGCAACTCTAGGGATGCCTTTGTGGAGGACCTTTTAAGGATAATTGGTTCGTGTCCACCTTAACCCATGGTGAAAACCACGGTAGCTTTCATGCAGCTTGCACGTTCGCAGGGATACGAGCCCAGGTCGAACTACCGTGTTTAGATTCTTTAATGCTCGGCCGTTGGTTGGCCTTCGAATCCTCCGGGTCCACAAATCTTCCAAACTATTTGAAATTCCAAAATTGAAATTTTAGCCTTTTTTCATCATATGAATCTTAAGTATTCGTTATATCTTTTAACTCGAATCATTGAAAAATAAATGTAATTTAATTGATACCCAATACAGCATTCTTTAAACAAAGAAGGCTATTGTTTTCCAGCCTGATATTCAGCGAAGAATCCAATCATTTCGATAATTGTGGACATAAATAAACTACTACTGGATGTTTCAAGCAACTAATGCCATTATATGTCAACGTTGAGTCGCGCACATGATTTGAGTTATCTATTAATTGAACTATTCTGACATGGTTATTACATTTTGAATTGTTAACTGAAATCTGAATTCTTACTCAAATATATTTAAAATATTTGAGTAAGAATAATTTAATTTTAAATATATTTATTTTTCAAATTGTTACGCAAATTAGCCTCAAGATTCAAGAGTTTAATTATGTACTTCATGTTCTAAATTTAACTTGCATATATTTAAGAAATGTAGGTTTATTATTTTAAACTGTATTCTTAAATTTGTTTTCTCTTAAGTAAAATTTCAGATTTTGCCATATTTCAAAGCTTCTAATGTCAAATAATTTTTTGTCTTTCTTCATTATGTTATTAGTCTTATTCGAAGGATTTGATAATCATTCAATGTTTGGATTCGATAAAATTGAAAATTTACTTTTCGATTTCCTGTTGGAAGCTAATAACACACGTATTCGTAGAGAAATATTTGACAGACGTAATCAGTGCATCATAATGAATATAGATATAGGGAGCTGAAAGCGTATGAACATTAAGTCATTTGAATTATAATAAACAAGGTAATACCACTGCAAAGTGAGTGATGCAATCGGAATGAAATTTATGCTCTTAATTTCGACTTTATCATGAAATTTACAATTTGAAAATAAAAACGAAGTTTCGTGAGATAAGTATTAAGAAAATCAGAAAAAATGACCAGACATTTGAAGCCAGAATCATAGTTAATGTCTGCCAACATTTGCCGAAGAAGTATTTCAGATAAATATATGAATCAAGCTTTTATTAATCATGGAAATACTCCGATGTATTGTGAATGGTGTATCTCGGCTGCAAAATACAATACAAGGATTTTAGGGATACCTAACCTGAAATTTAAAGAGAAATAATGAGTACATGGTTAAAGGTTTCGAATCCTAGAATACTATTCTGCAAATCCAGATCTCCAAAGTTTGATTCATAGAAAAACCATTTTACAGTGGCTCTTATTTAGAGGAAAAAAACATTAAACAAAAAAACATTCTTGGAGTGGTGGACGAAGAGGTCCTTTATCATTAACTTTGTGTTTGTTCGGGATAGATGGCTTCTCAACTAAATGGGGTAAGTGAGTATAAGGGTCGGCATCAATTTCAATAAATACAAAGCGGAATTTTTATCACCAAAAAACCTAGCTCATACTTCTAGGTAAATTTAGAGAAGGATAACCAAGTATATTTTACTTCCTAACAATTTAGGGCTTTATTACAACAGAATAGATCTATTATCATGCAGAGGTGAATTATAATTTTGTTCTTAGTTCATTCATGTAAATTCCCAGACAATAACTAATTCTTGATGGTATATAAAACCTTGAAATATTTGGCAGTCTTTATTATTTTTTCTTCATTCACTTGTTAGTGGTTGGCTTAAAATCGGTTCTGAATAGTCTATTAATACAGTTGCTACAGCAATATGAGTGTAAGCATCATTTTCATATTCAAATTATTCTTAATTGGTTGTCGATTATGTCTCATTTTAATTTTATTAGCAGAGGATGTGTCAATTTTGAGTAGTATTTCACTGTTGATTATATAGCTTTTAAAATTTGCCTATTATTTTTTCTTTGATTTTGAAATATTTATGAGGGCAATAGAAATTCTTTGAGCATGATCTGAAATTTTTTTAAAAATTTTTTAAGTTAAAGATTACAGTGCAGGTGTATTTTAGTTTTACAACATGTTTTACGGCGTTTGTTACAAATTTTCTCACACAGTATCTACAAGTCAGAACACTGGAAATTTGAATTTAGAAAATCTTTTTCTTAAATGTCATAATGCACTTTCAGGCAATAAATATAAATAAATATAAGTGAACAGGTTATCTAAAGCATTAAATTTGAAAAAAAAAATTAGTGGCATTCCCTTATTCAGAGAGAAGGATTCTTTCTTTTACTGGGAAAGAGGAAAATCTTCTAAATTCAGTATTTTTCAAATTCTGCTTTCTCTTGTGCTTAAATAAATATATTATTTTAGTTGAAGAATTTATTAACTCATTTATCTTTTTTAAATAATATTATCTGAAAAATATCATTCATCACAGAAAACTCGTTTCTTGAAGCAAAATCATTCCTCGATCGATTCAAGAAGCATTTTCCCTTATCTATTTGAATTGAATAAGAAAATATCCTGGAAAATCAGTGTTTGGGAATAATCAGGCATTAGTTTACTAGAACAAAATAATTATCTCCATTT